CCTTCCCAACATCCTTGCCTCCTCGGTCTACCCTGAACTCTAGGCCTCCTAGATGGGGTCGGAGTAGATGGGATCGGATGATCGCGCCACATCGCCGATTTATCGACGATGCGGCTCGATGTGAAGCTCGATTTTCTCCACTCCGACGTCGCCGATGCGTCGCCGACGTGGGCGATGCATCGACGATGCATCGCCGATGTACTGGCGATGCGGCGCGATCCTCCGACCCCATCTACTCGGACCCAAGGCGTGGTCGATCATCGGCCCAGGAAGGTACGGTGCATAGCTTCTCGGTCCGAGAAACTATGCACCGTACCGCGCTGGAGCATGGCAGGAAGGGAGCCCAAACATGGTAAGGTGCATGGGCGCCGTTCTCGTCTACAAGTCCCCACTGGCCAGCTCGCCGACACAGGTGAGGATCTGTGCCAGTTTCTTCGGGCTTCACGCGGCCTATCCCCACCTATAGGAGGGTGGACTGGGGGGGTTAGGCGCCGGTCAAACGAGGCGCTGCGCGTGTGAGTCCCGCCCTCGCTGTGGAAGTCGGTTAATGGAGAGGAAGCATGCTGCCAAATAATTTCCAGATGTTAAAGAAACGTGTCAAACATGTTTTAAAAAGTGTAAACACATGTTTGAAACATGTTTAGAATCTGATTTCACCTCTTAAACACATGTTTAACCCAATGATCGGATTGTTGGAGTGTCCGCTGTCATGGCATCCGCAACGCCCTCGGGGGCTGTGCCCGCCGCCGCCGCGTAGCGCACTCGCTCGGCCTTTCCCTCTGCCTCCTCGGCCTGCTGCTGGCCCTGCTGCTCCGCAACCGCGCCTGGGGCGCCCTCGTGGCTCTCGCGGGCGCGGCGCTGGCCCGCGCCGGCGGCGGCTGGCTGCACGGCGTCCTGCCGCCTTCGCTGCAGGAGTCGAGGGAGAAGAATCGAGGCTTTGGAAGCAAATCTGAAGTCGGGCCTGTCCCTCTACAGGGGAACATTCAAACATAGTTAAAAAATAGTCTGGGGTCGATGTTTGAGCGTTTGTTTGATCATTTTGGAGTCTTTTTGAGTATTTTTCACTTTCCCCCTAAAATCCCCCTGTAGGGGGACAGGCCCGACCTAAAGCAAATCATGGGAGCCTCGTGTCCCCGCGAAGTTCCGTGTATGGATTGCTATAGTATCGGCCAGCGCTTGGTAATCGATGGGGTAGCGCTGATGCAGCGTCGATTTAGAGTTCGATGAGTGTCGCTGCGGGAGGCGGGGGAAAGAGACGGCACCACCTTGGAGCCAGCCGGGGGTCTGATGTGGCCCAGCACTGGCTCTGGCCAGCAAGAAGTGGGGGGTTAAGGTTCGAGCTTCTGGGTTCGGGGAGGTGTTTTACCCTTTGCGGCCTCCAAGCCTCCAGTTGCGGTTTCCTGGCCCTGTCAAAAACGGATCCGCGGTGAAACATTTCACCAGACGGACCCTGGGAGGCGTCCTGCCGCCTTCGTTGCAGGAGCCGAGGTGGAAACATTCAGGCCTCCCAGACGGGGGTCGGAGCAGATGGGATCGGAGGATCGCGCCGCATCGCCGCTGCATCGGCGATGCATCGGCGATGTGGCTCGATGTGGAGCTCCGGTTTCTCCACGCCGAGGTCGCCGATGCATCGCCGTCATCGACGATGCATCGCCGATAAATCGGCGATGCGGTACAATCCTCCGATCCCGTCTACTCGGACACCATCCAGAAGGCTTTAAGACAGCTGCACAACACACAAGCCTTCGGACTGCCTCGCGACGCTAGGCCTGGGCATATGCGTATTGAACACCGAGGCCCATCCTGTGGCCATGTGGTCACCATCATCTCCGGGTCGTTGTGCTGCTGATGGACCGTCGATGCCACCAGCGTTGAAGCGTCGCAGGGAGAAACTGGAAAGAAGCAAGAGCCTTCGGAGTTCGGCGCCGCATCCCTCTGGCGGCGCCTCCCGCGCCGCCCCAGGTGCGCTCCGCCCGCCAGGGAGGGAGGCCCAGCGCCAAGCCAAGACATCCGCGCGGATCTCCGACAGCTTCTGTTTACGCAGGGGCTCTGTCTCCTGAGGAGGGCGCCGCGCCGGCGCCAGGGGCAGTGGAGGCCGCGGCCAGCAGGTGCAGCAGGCAGAACACCTTGAGATCCGAGCGCTGCAGTTTTTTCACACCGGGCGTTTACGCCCAGTTTGGAACCCGCGGACCATCACGGACCGATCTTGCTTCAAAGGTGCGGCAGAACATGTGGTCTTAGGGTTCCAGTCGTGGTTTATGTTGGGTGTTTGCTCGCAACGCCGGATCTCAGGGAACGTACCGACATTGCTATCTCTCGGTTCCGCCTGTTGTGGTCTCGTTGGAGGCCCTCGTCGCCAAGGCTGGATTCGCTTCGAAATCCTTGGCCCGAACTCACCCCAGGAGCAGCGGTTCGGCACCTGTCGGTGTCCCAAAGAGGTGCGGGCTCTTCTGCCTGACCGGCGTCACGTCGCCCGGGGACAGCCTGGCGGCGGAGTGGGGCGCGCCCTCCTGGAGGAGGAAAGGAGGAGGAGAGGCAATGCGAAAGGAGGAGGAGGAGGAGAGGAAGAGGAGGAGGAAGGAGGAGGAGAGGAAAGGAGGAGACAGGAAAGGAGGAGATATATGCGAGGCGTTTTTCTGTTTTGCATATGGGGAGGGGGTCCCGGGGCCCTGGGCCCCCCGGAATTCACTGATTCGGTACCCGGCCGTTTTGGGCCTGTCGGTGGGGCGCCAGGACGCGTCAGACGAGGGAGGAGGGGCGACGAGAGGGCCCGAGAGACGTCCAAGAGGGTGCCAAGATGGCCCAAGAGCGCTCCAAGAGAGCCCAATACCGCACAAGAACGTTTCAACATTGATCTAACATGAATTGAAGACAGCCCAAGAAGGCCTCAAGACGGCCAAGATGCCTTCAAAAGGACTCCCACGAGGCCCTCAGGAGGTAAAACAAGTAGCTTTTTGTCCAGGCTTTTGGAGGTTTTTCGTGTTCTCGTTTTTTCGTCTTGCCGACGGTCCAAGACAGCCCACGAGGCCCCAGAAATCACCTCAATACGGCCCAAAAGGCACCCAAAGAGGGCGTCAGTATGGCGCAAGGGAGTCCCAAGATGGCCCAAGAGTGCCCCAAAACGGCCCAAGATCGCCCAAGAGGGCCCCAAGAGGAGCCCAAGAGGGGGAACACGAACCGACAATTCGAGCCTTCCGCCCCCAAATGCAGGGCCCCCTAGAGGCCCCGCGAGGCCCCAAATAGGCCCAAGAAGAGGCCCCCAAAGAACCCCAAAAGGCTCCCAAAAGGCTTCCAAAACTGCCGTCAAGAGGCCCCAAGGAGGCCTCCCACGAATTCCAAACGAACTTACAGGTGGCCTCCAACGCACACTCCAGGCACGGTGGCGGGATGGGCCGAAGGCCACTAGATGGTCCAAGACGCCCAAGACAGCTTCCAGACGGCCCAAGAGGCTCCCAAGATATCCACCAGGAGGCTTCCAAGAGGTCTCCCAACCAACAGAGCTCGAAGAGGCCAACGAGTTTTTGTTGCCCATCGACTTTTCATCAAGTTTGGCGTTTCCGCTTGTTCCCCTTCCCGACGCTACAACACGCCTCAAGAGGCTCCGAGGATCGCCCCGCGCTTTCGAGGTGGTCGATCAAAGGAGGCGGGGTTCGGCGCCCCCTCCCAGTGGGCCAAATTGTGGTCAGCATCTTTTTCTAACAAGCAATGTTTGCAGCATCCTCGCCGAGGCCACACAAAAACCCTCTGACACTTTGCGGCCCTTCCCGCGCAGAGCCAGGGGGGAGGGGGCAAGGGGAGGGGGGAGAGGCAAGCTAAGTGCGCTCGCGTCATATCTGACGTCCTACCCCTCCCTCCCATCCCTTACCATGGCGCTGATTTTCTCTATCCGCGGACGCGTGTCGTAGCGGACCTGTGGTTCCGCGCGCGCGTGCGTAGTGGGTGGTGGTGCACGTGCGTGCGTGCGTGCGTGTGTGCGTGGTTGTCGTGGTGGTGGCGGTGGTGGTGGTAGTGGTGGTGGTGGTGGTGGTGGTGGTGGTGGTGGTGGTGGTGATGGTGGTGGTGGTGGTGCTGGTGGTGGTGCTGGTGGTGGTGGTTTTGGTACTGGTGCTGGTGCTGGTGGTGGTTGTGGTGGTGGTGGTGGTGGTGGTGGTGGTGGTGGTGGCGGTGCGGCGCGGTGGTGGCGGGCGGATGGGCGCGCGAGAAAAAGGCCCGCGCTGGGGCGAGAACGCCATCCTGAACGACGGAGGCCAAACACCGATCCGAAAATGAGGCCCACGCTGCAGCGGGAGCACGATTCGGAACGATTCGGGAGCAGAAATGAGGCCGGCGCCTCAACGAGAGCAGCATTTTGGAAAAAATGACGCCGGCGCCTCAGCGAGAGTCGGTAAAAAAACAGTACGCGGAGGGTGCGCGGCCATCACCCGGACGCCATCAGGGGAAGAGGGAGAGTATTTTCATATTGAGTAATTGCAAACGCTTGCAAGCCCAGAGGGCCGGTGGGATCCCGGCGCTGTGGCGATGCGCTCAGCCAGCAAGACAACAATCCATCGGAGCGGTTGGACTATTGTTCGCTGCAGATCTCCGAGGAGAAGGCTTCATGAGCACGCCAGCCCGCAGCTCGACGCGCTGGAAGAAGGGGGGCGACCGGGGCCCCCAGCAGTCCGCGCCGCTGTTCTGGGTCGTCCCTGGGAACAGCGAGGGGCAAGTCCAGGCGCGGGGCCAGTGCGCGAAAACGTGGCCCGCGGGCGAGCGCCAGGGGTGGAGCTCGGGCCCGGCACCTCGTCAACGCCAGACCGGGCCCGCGCGCGGCGCCGTCGGGCCTGCCCCCGCGCCCATCGGCACGAAGATCCGCCGCAATGAACGCAAGGGCATGTAGGGCACGATCGCCAACGTCGGCGGCGCGCCACTCTTCTGCCTGCTCCGAACAGGGGCTTCTTGTCCCCAGAGTTGCGGGCGGGCCGCCCCGCTGTAGCTTGCATCTAAGCAGGCCGCCGGAGTAACGCACCGACGTTCATGATTTGCCGTCGTTTCCCCGGGGGGGGGGGGGCGGGCGAGCTGGCGTGGCGGGGCGGGCGCCGCGGCCCAGAGAAATAGACGGCGCCCACAAGTCGCTGCCGTCGGGTCTCGCTGCGCTGGCGGAGCGGGTTTGCAGGCGCGCCCCCTGGGCGGGGGCCGCCGAATGGGGCCCGGCCGACGGGGGGCGACGCGCCTTTTTGCCTGGTGGCGCGGTTCTCGGGCCGTCGCCGCCGGCAGGGCGGCGCGCCGCTGTGTGGTCGTATCCCCACTCCCCTCCTCCCTATGTGTCCCTTGGATCTGACCGCAGCCTCTTGGCTTAAGGCTGCCGCGTCGGCGGAGTTTCACAGTATTGTATCGTGGTGTTCAGAGGCGTGCCTCGGAAAACTCTATGCCCATCCTAGGTTAACTCGTTATCTTTCGCCCTCTTCGATGCCCGACGGAGACGATCTCAATGGTATGCGGAGCGTGGATGAGAATGGGTCGGGACAGGCAGCTGAGGGCACGAGGACGCCCGAGGCACCACGGCAGGCTGGGAGCTCACCGGCTGAGGTGGACGCAGCACACCAGCAAAGTGGCGAAGAAGCAGAAGGCAGCTGGTGGAACTCGTGGTGGCACAGTTGGTCGGGGGCAGGCTGGGACTGGGGTACCTCCGACTGGGACGACAACAGCACCCACGGCTGGACCAAGGTGGGCTCGCAGCCCGTCAGGAGCAGAGATTTCTCGGCGCCTCCTCCCTTTCCCGGGCTAGATCACCTGGAGATTTTTACGGCTAACCTGCTAGCATGGTCCAAGAGAACAGGGGTTCTGCCAGAGTACCAGGCCAGCAAGGTGCTCGAGGGTTTCGAGATAGATCTTCAGGGCAAGTGCAAGGGGATACGTCATCTTCTGGACGCAGAGGACGGCATAACCGAGCTGCTCAAGCACTTGCACCTTCTCAAGGGCGAGAAGCCCGGCGACAAGGAGCGAGAAGCACACAACGAGGCGCTGTTCGACTACCTGATTCGTCCGACAGAGTCCCTCACGGGCTTCGTCATCAGGCGCGACAGCCAGATCGCTCAAGCAGAAAGATTCGGTCTCACGCTTCCGGACGCCGTGCAGGCACGTTATTACGAGGAGGGCGCCCAGCTGACCAAGCAGAACCGCATCAACCTACGGACCTTGATGGGCGGAGACAAGACAGTAGCAGCGGTCAGACGAGCACTTTTGGAGCTTGATGTCTCAGAGAAGTCGGTTCTCCCACAAAAGTCAGCGACGTCCGCGAAGAATTTTCCAGCAGAGCTACAGGGCTGGGACTCGGACTCGGAGGAAGGCGACGAGACCCTCGATCTATTTGAAGTTGAATTTCCCGAAGATGATGTGACAGTGTTTCTGGGAGCGCTGGACGACAAGGACCTGTACGAGGATGAGGGATACCAGATCTTCATGGAAATGGCTTCGAAGCGAAGGCGGACCTGGAAGGAGTCTAGGCAGATGAAGGCGGCGAGAAAAGTGGATCGAGACTTTTTCGACCGCAAGCGAGGCGACAAGGGTGGAGTCACTCCTCCTCCAGCTCCGTCCTCCGGCTTCAAGCGCATCAGCAAGGACGACTTGGAAAAGAGAACGCGCTGCACGAATTGTGGAGATAAGGGTCACTGGCGAGAAGATTGCAAGAAGCCATATAGGTCGAAGGCGGACAGACTCAAGTCGGAGGGCAAGAGCTTCTACTTTCAAGTGGGATCGGCAGCGGGCTCGAGCGGAAGTACCTGGGCGATTGTCGCAGAGGAGCTCGCCGAGGCGATAGCGTCGGTGACGGCCGGCAGGTCAGACTCGTTTTCGGGAGTGACGCTGAAGTCGATGGCGGACCAGGCTCTGGTAGACACAGCAGCGGCCCAGGCTTTGATAGGAGTCCCGGACCTCAAGCACCTCAAGTCGGCTTTCAAGGAGAAGGGATTCAGGGTGCACGTCAGGTACCAGGACGATCTTCCTTTCGCCAACGGCGTCGGAGGGCGTGTCCGTCCGGTCGCCAAGGCTTTCGTACCAGTATCATTTCACGGCTGTGGGGTCCTGGAATTTCTCGTGTTGCCGCATCCTTGTCCTCCCTTGTTGCCAGCAGGGTTCCTGGACTTCATGTCGGCCAAGATCGACCTAGCGGCCAACCAGATGACGGTGGGGACGGACGACATCACTACGCTAAATATGACGAAGCTCCCGTCAGGTCACCGCACGATCGGTCTAATTGGCAAGTCCCCGTCAGAGTTCGTTCTCGACCCTGATCTGGCCCAGAAGTTTCCGTCCTTTCGGATCGGCTCGGAGAGCGCCTGGGTCATGAGCGTGTCGAGCGGATCAGACAGGTGGGAGCGGGGCGGCAACAAGCTGAGGCTGGTGTTCACCAAGCCCCGGCGTGCGATGCCAGTGAAGAAGGATCTGAGTGAGTCTCCCGTTCCGTCGAGCTTCTTGGAAGACGAGATGGTCACGACCTGCAGGTTCAGGAATCCCGACGGGATC